TGTCTGTGACCATGTGGAGAGGTGCAGCACGGTGTGGGCAGTAAATACAGAGTCCAGTTGCGGTGAACATGTAATGAATAGAATGCCAACATTACAAACACTCTGGCGGAAGAGCACCGCTAGGAAAATAACTCACAGTTCAATGCAGTCACATGCGGCTGAGGAGTGATGCCGACAGCGTCTGTTTCAGAGGGAGAAGTGTGGCCTGGCTGCTCCAGTCTAAAGAGGGGAAACATCTTCCAGGAAAGTGAGTCCCTAACCTTTCCCTCCTCATCAGGAACCTTTCCCTACCGCTAGTTACTTTCCCTTGCAAGCGGGGTCTCCTCCCTACATTAGCCACTCGCAACAAAGCACATTAAAACTCAGGGAAAGATATCTAAACAGACCTTGCTGACCCAAGATGGCCACCATGGGTCACAGTGCCAACCGGAACACTGCTCCGTTGATCCAGTAAATTGTAGTGTAACCATGTTTCCCTTGGACTTCCTATCCAGGCTCTGGTACCACTCGGGCTGAGCACCACCCACAGTGCAGAAAACAGACTTCATCTACCTACAACCCCATTGGTGAGATTTTTCATTACTGCCTCCCTCTACAACACCCCATATAAGAATTATGGAAAACAGTTTGTCCCTGGTATTTTCTGGCTTTCTTACTGTTTTGTGTCACTTATATGTGTTTTCTGTGTTGTATTTAACTGCACTGGGTTATTATTGTGCGATAAGCTGTCACCTAGTGGTGGGTTAGGGTCACTACAACATATTTACTATGTGGTTTGGTATCTCCCTCTGTCCTCCCCTCTTTAGTGCTAGTTAGTTCAGTCCAAGCTAGATTCTTCCTGTTTCTTTCATATTCCCTCAGTGTTAGTTCTTTGCAGAGACAGGGCTTAGGAAAATCATTATCTTTTTTTACACTTCAAAAGTCTGGGAAATATCCTTTGTACTGTAATTATCTGAAGTAAAAATCCATTGAATTCAATTTCTGTGTCTTATTGAAGAGTTGAGCTGCCTGTTAATGGTGCCAAGTCAGCAGGTGACCATACTGTCCAGGCAGACTGGGTGTAAGGAAGTAAAGTGGTATTGGAAACAGAACTCCTATCACTTTCTGTCCTGACATTGGTGTGTCAAGTCCCCATATACCTCTTAGTTCAGGTTTCTTGTAATGCTATCAGTTTATAATACAGTTCTCAAATATTAAAATATTTTTAACAAATTATTTTCAATCATCCAATTATAATGTGTCATCTTGAAAAGTTTACTAGTTTCCATTCAGCTATATCCAGAAAGTCTTTTTAACTTCCCAGCCCTGGCTGCTGCCCAGTGCTGAATAACATATAAATGGCCCCAGGTGCTTTGCATTAAACCTTTCAAGTAACTTCATTGGAAAAGAAAACAAAATAAAAGGCGGCTCTCAATGACTTCTGGAACCAGCGAGTCACTCATTGAAAAGACCGTATTCCATATTAGTTAATAATTCAAAGCCCAATAAAAAGGTTGATTTAGTTTTTTATTTTTTTAAAGTATGACCTAGGATTCTTTCTATGAGGCAAAGAATAAAGAAAATTTCATTAGCAAACTATACTTGAAAAATCCATAGCATTTTTTTTCTTTTGTTTAACTGCAAAGAAACAATATTGTGCTTTAGAAGAAAAAAATTATGAATCATCTTTACAGCTAAACTACATATTTATAATGTTCTTTTATGTAAACCACATGCTGTGCATTCATCATATCTCAGTTATAGATATTACATTTCTTCTACCTTTTTATAAATGAGAAATATGGCTTTTTTTTTTTTTAATTCAAAATCATACTCACCTAGATAATTGCAGCACTGATTCCAGCTGCAGCTGTCCCTCGTTCCTCCTAAGGCTGGCCATACATGGGTCGATTTCCGAACGATTTTTTCGTTGGAAAATTGGACTTAAGTATAATCAGCTGATTTTCGTTCGTTAGTGATTTTCGTGGTTCTTCGGGCATGCTGGAAACTTCGTGAAAAACTACCGATTTTCAAAATCATTGGTGGCACCATCGGATTACAGAACAAACAATGTTTTCGATTTTTGACCAAAAAATAGTTTGGAATTCGACCCATGTATGGCCTGCTTAAGATTGAGTCTGCAGAGAGCTGGTGACTGTCAGTCTCTGGCTCTTTGCTTTGTCCCTCCAGCGCTCACTGTAGCGCTGGGCTGTGGATGAGGCGGGAGCAGCTGGCTCAGGCTCTCAGTGGCTTTCTGAGAGGCTGAGCCAGCTGCCAGTCCAGACTTCTGGTCGGATCCATATGGTGGGGTTCTTTTCAGAGCCTGGACCGGATCTATGATGCCAGCTGACAACAGGCTTTAGTTGAAGCCCACTTTCGATATATATAGCTATTAATAGAGATATCTACAGAAGAATGTTTCACCAAAGTCCAGTTGCAGGGGCCCTTGAGGATGATGTGGCCTTTGTCTTTGTGTTGGAGCGTCTGAGGACCAAATTAGCGTTCATGGCAGTATCCTCCAATTGTTGTCAAACCAGCATGGAAGGGAACTTCTCACCAGCAGGAACTCTCTCTGGCACTGGAACTCAGAGTCAGCCTATCTACTCTGTGTGTTAGTCGCTTCCTAGTAGTGTCTGCATAATGGTCTCTTTTGGTCCAGGATTTAGTAACATAGACGGGACATATGGCTGTGGCTTTCTATCTCTGTCTACTTCCTTCTTCTTCGAGGGTTTCAAAGCCAATAACCAAGGGGCAGGAAGTGCATACATGAAATATTTACAGGCATTTACAAATTCAGACAGGAGAGGCAGTAGAGCCCTACAGTTTTATAGAGACATAAAGATTTTATTAAAGCCCAACTCTGGGGAACTTGGTAATGCTCCCTTGCAGTGGAGTTATACCTGCACTGCAAGGGTTAATTTCTCATTTATGTCCACACTGCTAGACCAGTCCCTGCAGTGCCTTCTGTGCCATGCTCACGCAATATGCAGGGACTTATGCAGAGTCCATAGCCCTACACAGGACATGAGGACACCAGTGGACATTCCACCACTAGAGCATAGGGAAGCGCTGTTTGCCGGACTTTTATCCTTCCTCAAACTATAGAGATTGCCTGGAGTTGGTCTTTAACTTTCCCCCATCTTCCACATCGCTGGCATGATGTCATTGTTCCTCTATATATTCCTTGGAAATGTAGAGTAGATGAAATCTAGTGAGAAGACACTTCAAGTCCTGAGCAAGGGTGTCTTCTCGTTAGATTAGGGCTGCTCAGTATTTCCCAGGATCTAAACAGAAGGTGTGTGGTGTCACATTTGGCCGAGGTGTGTGGCCGAGGTGTAGTGGGTGGAAGGTGAATATACACTCACCAGCCACTTTATTAGGTACACTTTTCTGGTGCCAAGAAAATATCCCCCAAACCATCACACCACCAGCTTGAACCATTGATATAAGGCAGGATGGATCCACATTTTAATGTTGTTTTTTGAGTTGCCTTTCTATCATCTCGAACCAGTCTGCCCAATCTTCTCTGACCTCTGACATCAACAAGGCATTTTCATCCACACAACTGCCCTCACTGGATATTTTCTCTTTTTTTTCGGACCATTCTCTGTAAACCCTAGAGATGGTTGTGCGTGAAAATCCTAGTAGATAAGCAGTTTTTTAAATACTCAGACAAGCCCGCCTGGCACCAACAACCATGCCACGTTCAAAGTCACTTAAATCCCCTTTCTCCCCCATTCTGATGCTTGGTTTGAACTTCAGCAAGTCCTCTTCACCACGTCTAGATGCCTAAATTAAGTTGCTGTCATGTGATTGGCTGATTTGCAATTTGTGTTACCAAGCCATTGAACAGGTGGACCTAATAAAGTGGCCAGTGAGTGTAAATAGGTAATAGCATTAACTTATATAGGTAACTGTAATTTAAAATAGTTTTTTCTTTCAGGTGTATTTTTCGCACACTATAAGCAGGTGATTTTTTTAGGGGGGGGGGGTCCAGTCCAGAAATTGTAAGTGTAGCACTAACCTTGAGAGAGCTGCTGGGAATTGCCCAGGTTCTTTTTTCCCAGTAATTGCCCAGCAGCCAGACACATGTTCACAGTCACTCTTTGGCTCAATGACAAGTCCAGGGGTGTTCTTTTTGGTGTTACTTGGATAGGATTGGGGAATTGATTGGGATACTCCAAAAAGAACTATGTACAAGATGAGGTCAATAATGTCCTTCTGTAGAAGCAAAAGTCCCTGAAAAAGTAAACCGTGGACTTGGCTGTGTAGTAGAAGCAGTTAAATAACAAAAGTTTCTTCTTTGGAGCAATCAGTGTCCCTTCACAAAGAAATAGATAGACTGAGCTCTCCAGGACACCAACCGATGTCCCCTTTACACAAACACACAGCTGACTCTCTAGCACCAGAGGGATGGCAGCAGCCCAAAAGTCTCTAAGATCTCTCACAGCAGCCAGTACTCACAAATGTATATGGTAAGCTGGTTGTCTCCCTACAACATCCATGCGACACCTTTGTCTTGTGATACCAGACTAGATCTTCAGACAGCCCCTCAGTCAGTTCTGCATCCAGGCTGCTCAGCTAGCCCAGCAGAGGCCTCACAAACAGCAGGCACATGGCAGGGTTGCCCAGAGGACAGAAAGCCCTCCAGGCTGGACTTCTCCTTTCTAGGACAAGACAGACAGCTCTGTTTCTCAGAGTATTTATAGAGACTCCCAGCAGCCCTCAGAGACACCCACCCTGGGATTGGCCAGGTCTGTATAAATATTCATGCTGATATTTGCATTGCTCCACACCTATGTTCTAGAGCAGGGGTGTCAAACTAGCGGCCCCCCAGCTGTTGTGAAAAGTACCATCATGCCTCTGCTTTTGAGAATCTTGCTTGTAACTGTCAATCTTGCAATACCTCATGGGACTTGTAGTTTGGCAACAGCTGGAGGGCCGCCAGTTTAACACCTGTGTTCTAGAGACATCCACAGTTTTCCAGAAATCAGAGAGAGAGCAGTTAAAGTGTTACTAAACCCCAGACCCTGCATTCACTATATCTGGTCTCCCCGGACCCTGCATTCACTATATCTGGTCTCCCCGGACCCTGCCCTATATGCTGGTTCACTACATCTGGTCTCCCGGACCCTACATTCACTATATCTGGTCTCCTGGACCCTACATTCACTATATCTGGTCTCCTGGACCCTATATTCACTATATCTGGTCTCCCCAGACCCTGCATTCACTATATCTGCTCTCCCGGACCCTACATTCACTATATCTGGTCTCCCAGACCCTACATTCACTATATCTGGTCTCCTGGACCCCACATTCACTATATCCGGTCTCCCCAGACTCTGCATTCACTATATCTGGTCTCCTGGACCCTACATTCACTATATCTGGTCTCCCAGACCCTACATTCACTATATCTGGTCTCCCGGACCCTACATTCACTATATCCGGTCTCCCTGGACCCTGCATTCACTATATCTGGTCTCCCGGACCCTACATTCACTATATCTGGTCTCCCAGGACCCTGCATTCACTATATCCGGTCTCCCCGGACCCTGCATTCACTATATCTGGTCTCCCGGACCCTACATTCACTATATCTGGTCTCCCAGGACCCTGCATTCACTCTATCAGGTCTCCCCAGACCCTGCATTCACTATACCTGGTCTCCCACAGTACACACAACATGGAAGTGCAATTATTTTAGTAAATATAAACTGCTAAATACCTTTTCTCATCAGCAGTTAGTGCAGTCTTGTGCCTTCTATCAGTGTTCAGCGGAGCACTAGTTAAAGCTTGTAGGAGTTTTCTTTCTGCTTTAGGAAGATGCAGAACCCCTGACCTCTGTCTGGACAGTGCTGATTGACTCTGTGCTGATCACATGAACTCTTCCAAGACAAAAAAAACCCCTCTCTAGCAATACACACTAAACTGAGTATGTGCAGAATGGCTACGTTCAGTCCATCAGGAGATAATGTGTGGACATTTGAACAAGAGGAGGAGCAGAGAAAACAGGATCAAACACCTTTTTACACAATGCAGAGGATTAACCCCTTAGGTTCCACAGTGAGTATAACAAGCATGCTTTACTGCATATACAGACTGATTTTACTGTTGTGGGTTTAGTAACACTTTAAACTTACAGCAGCTGAAACACTTAACAGACCAGAGTAATCAGCACATCTCCACTGATTACAGTAAGTCAGAACTACATTTTTCTACTCCTAGCACCTACCTGGGAGGGTGCTACACAAGCAGGCCTTGCTTTTTACTGCAAGGTCCCTTTTAACGTAGATGTAAGCTCCAAATAAAAGACATTTACTTTGCTAAAGCACTGTGTATCAGATAACTCACCAATCCAAAACAAGCAAATTAAACTTTTTAGCAAGTTATACACTATAGGGTTTTTTTTAACACAAGTGGTGCCTTCTGAAGAGTGATCTGCAATGGATTGCTTTTCAGAGGTCCTTTGACAGCTAGTGAGAAGGTAGGTAGGTAGGTCCTGTTCAGCAGGTGGTACTTCCTATCAAACATGACATGGGGGATCATTTTGCAGAGCTTTGATGCAAAGCATTGCGGACACTGAATATGTATACCCCCAGACAGCTGCCTTTGCAGCATAGGGGAGAGAGGCAAAAATGTGACTCAGCTACCTGGTTTTACTGCCTCCAATCACAAGTTCAAATTAGGCCTGACGGGGAATTATCTTTCCATGTGTGATGCTTCTGTAATGGCTAGTTTAGGTCACTAATGGAATTTTACATTGAGCTTTGAACATGCTCATTCAATCCAGGAGATCATTTTACTGGTTTATACAGAAAGAATATAACAACAATAATATTCCTGGTTCCATTACAAGTGGAAGTGGATTATAGGTAAGGCTGTTTTCTTTCCAAGGAAAATATTAAACTTAATCCTAAATAAATGAAATGAAATTACCTACTTCATACAAAGCTCAGACATTCCATGTCAATGTTACATGAAATTGCTGATATATACGCACTCACCGGCCACTTTATTAGGTACACCTTGTTAGTAGGGTTGGACCCCCTTTTGCCTTATTTCACGGCATAGATTCTACAAGGTGATGGAACCATTCCTCAGAGATTTTGGTCCATATTGACGTGAGTTTTACTGTTGCCTTTCTATCATCTGTATCCAGTCTGCCCATTCTACTCTGACCTCTGACATCAACAAGGCATTTTCATCCACACAACTGCCGCTCACTGGATATTTTCTCTTTTTCGGACCATTGTCTGTAAATCCTAGAGATGGTTGTGCATGTTATTGCCAGCAGGTCAGCAGTTTTTGTAATACTCAGACCAACCAACAACCATGCCAAATTCAAAGTCACCTAAATCCCCTTTCTTCCCCATTCTGATGCTCAGTTTGAACTTCAGCAAGTCATCTTCACCATGTCTAGATGCCTAAATGGATTAAGTTGCTGCCATGTGATTGACTGATTAGCGATTTGTTTTTACCAAGCAATTGAAGAGGTGTACCTAATAAAGTGGCCATTGAGTGTATACAGTATGAGTGTGTACTGTATGTCAGGGGGGCAGAGGATGGGAGGTCAGCAGGGCAGAGGACAGGGGTCACTACTGGCAGGGCAGAGGATGGGGTCACTGCTGGCAGGGCAGAGGGCAGGGGTCACAGCTGGGAGGGCAGAAGACAGGGGTCACTGCTGGCAGGGCAGAGGACAGGGGGCACTGCTGGCAGGGCAGAGGACAGGGGTCACTGCTGGCAGGGAAGAGAACAGGGGTCACTGCTGGGAGGGAAGAGAACAGGGGTCACTGGTGGGAGGGTAGAAGACAAGGGTCACTGCTGTCAGGGCAGAGGACAGGGGGCACTGCTGGCAGGGCAGAGGGCAAGGGTCACTGCTGGCAGGGCAGAGGACAGGGGGCACTGCTGACAGGGCAGAGGATGGGGCACATAACCTTCTCCCATCCCTGCACTGCAAACAGCCTGGGCACAGGCAGCAGAGCTCCTCCAACCCACACAACCGATAACAGATCAGTATACTGTCAAATTAGGGCAGTAAATTATCAGATTAGGGTGGTATAGTGTCAGATTAGAGAAGCATAGTGGCAGGTTAGGGTAGTATAGTGAAAGGTTAGGGTAGTATAGTGGCAGATTAGGGCAGTATAGTGGCAGGTTAGGGCAGTATAGTGGCAAGTTAGGGCAGTATAGTGGAAGGTTAGGGTAATATAGTGGCAGGTTAGGGCAGTATAGTGGAAGGTTAGGGTAGTATAGTGGCAGATTAGAGTAGTATAGTAGAAGGTTAGGGAAGTATAGTGGCAGGTTAGGGCAGTATAGTGGAAGTTAGGGTAGGTTAGTGGCAGATTAGAGTAGCATAGTGGCAAGGTTAGGGTAGTATAGTGGCAGGTTAGGGCAGCATAGTGGCAGGTTAGGGAAGTATAGTGGCAGGTTAGGGCAGTATAGTGGCAGGTTAAGGTATTATAGTTGCAGGTTAGGGTAGTATAGTGGCAGGTTAGGGCAGTATAGTGATAGGTCAGGGTAGTATAGTGGCAGGTTAGGGTAGTATAGTGGAAGGTTAGGGCAGTATAGTGATAGGTTAGGGTAGTATAGTGGCAGGTTAGGGAAGTATAGTGGCATAGGTTAGGGCAGTATAGTGATAGGTTAGGGTAGTATAGTGGCAGGTTAGGGTAGTATAGTGGCAGGTTAGGGCAGTATAGTGGCAGGTTAGGGTAGTATAGTATAGTGGCAGATTAGAGTAGCATAGTGGCAGGTTAGGGCAGTATAGTAGCAGGTTAGGGCAGTATAGTGGCAGGTTAAGGTATTATAGTGGCAGGTTAGGGCCATATAGTGGCAGGTTAGGGTAGTATAGTGGCAGGTTAAGGTAGTATAGTGAAAGGTTGGGGCAGTATAGTGGCAGGTAGGGTAGTATAGTGGCAGGTTAGGGTAGTATAGTAGCAGATTAAAGTAGCATAGTGGCAGGTTAGGGTAGTATAGTGGCAGGTTAGGGCAGTATAGTGGCAGATTAGAGTAGTATAGTGGTAGGTTAGGGCAGTATAGTGATAGGTTAGGGCAGTATATGTGGCAGGTTAGGGCCATATAGTGGCAGGTTAGGGTAGTATAGTGGCAGGTTAAGGTAGTATAGTGAAAGGTTAGGGCACTATAGTGGCAGGTAGGGTAGTATAGTGGCAGGTTAGGGTAGTATAGTAGCAGATTAGAGTAGCATAGTGGCAAATTAGGGAAGTATAATGGCAGGTTAGGGCAATATAGTGGCAGGCTAGGGTAGTATAGTGGCAGGTTAGGGCAGTATAGTGGCAGGTTAGGGCAGTATAGTGGAAAGTTAGGGCAGTATAGTGGCAGGTTAGGGTAGTATAGTGGCAGGTTAGGGCAGTATAGTGGCAGGTTAGGGTAGTATAGTGGCAGTTTAGGGCAGTATAGTGGCAGGTTAGGATAGTATAGTGGCAGGTTAGGGTGGTATAGTAGCAGGTTAGATCGGTATAGTGGCAGGTTAAGGTGGTATAGTGGCAGGTTAGGGTAGTATAAATCTTATGATAATGTGTACTTGTGAGCTACTATGGTGGTATAGAGATACTTATAAGTAATGTACATCCCCCTGAGGAAGCCACGTGACCCTGTGGCGTAACGCGTAGGGGAGGGGCTCTGACGTCACGACGCCACTTTCAGCGGAACGGCGAGTACTGTCATTGTGCGAGGGCACACATTTTAAAAAAAACGCTCTGTATTGCTCTGTGGAATGTGAGTTTGCATTTTTCTGGAGACGTATTAAAACCTTTTATAAAGGATAAAGCACTATGTGGGAATCTTTCTTTTTCATGGCCTAAATCGGAGGAGCAAAAGGGAAGAAGAGGAGATAGGAGATAGACCCTAAACAGGACAAGGGGAGATATCTATATCTATCCATCCAGCCCTCACAACCCAGAAGAAACTGGGAGGCCATCTAGTGGAAGGAAAGTAACATCACAGTCTACCTCAACAGCAATATATTTTCCATATATCTGTACAAACAGATTGGGACGATTATATGTCATTTAAGCTAAGGATAAGCAATATATAGCTCTAATCACCACTTCAGGCTGTATAAGTGAGGTGATTACACCATATTATTTGCACAGTTTTATTATTATTTATTTTTCTATATTAATTCGTTCATTGCACTTTATTATATATATATATTTTTTATATAACTGCTCTGGGCAATATTGGCATTTTTGCACATACACATTTTTGCACATGAATATCATTATGCATGGAGGTTCTTTTGTTCACTTGATTTGATTCATTTTAACATCATTTCTATATAATTTTAATATAATTATTTTTCACATTATTAATTTTATTTATTTAGCTAATTGCAATTTAATTAATTACAGCACTAGGAGTGTTTTAAATTTAATTTAAATTACATCACCATGAATTAATATTTATTTAGATTAATTCGATTTATTTATTTTGTATATACATTATATATTATATATCACTAAACACTTTTGAGGAGCGCGACACATCCAATATTTTATTTAGGTTAGGGTAGTATAGTGGCAGTTT